TATACTGTACTTGCTGTCACAAACAACCCAACTCCCCTGCGGTCTGGAGCCCAAACGACACCAAAGCCGAGGGCCTCAAAGCCGAAGTATCTGAGAGCCCAAAGGCGCACCAAAAGATACGCTTTCCAAGGGCAACTTTCCAATAAGTGGGTAGATGCTGCCTCTTTGTGTCTGTGTTGCTTCTTGTGTTGCTTTTGGTTTCAACAGTATACACCCATCCCTGGACTCTCAATCCCAATGCCCTAAGCAATCTGCACCAAAACCCTGAATCCTAAACCTGAACTCTAAATGCTGACCCTCAAAAACTAAAACCCCTAACAAGGCCCTAACACCCTAAACCCTAAAACACTAGTCCATAAACCCAAGGAGTCCTAAGCACATACAGCGAAACATTATGCACCAAACCCCTGATCCCATTGGCCCTAAACCCTGAACCCCTAAACCCCTAAACCCCTAAACCCCTAAACCCTAAACCCTAAACCCTAAACCCTAAACCCTAATGATCCCCTTGTCCCCTGCCTGCTGTATTCTGCGCGCCCGCGCGGCAGCTGCCTCCTCCTCGTCCTCTTCCGGCTTGGCCTGAAGTTACAACAGAGACCTACCTTAAGAACCCAAAACCCACTTTTTTTATAGGTTCTTATTATAAACCCTAATATGAGATTTATAGGGACCCTACAAAAAAGTAGGTTTTGGGTTTTTAAGGTACCCATAGGCCCCATAGTAGTTCCTTTTTTGTGGCTTATACATTTAGGATCCTATAAGGTAATCCCAAAAAGGAACTACTATGGGGCCTATGGGTAGTGATTTGAATAGGTCTCGTTTATTCAACGGATCATAAAGATGTATTTCAGTGGCCGGATGCTGGACGTACCAAGTTCACCCGTGAATAACGGGGTTTGGAACTCGTCATTTTCACTAGGGCAGTCACCAAAGATAACACCATAGCATGTCCCAGAGTCTTCCCTGCGATTAGCAGTGTTTGGTCCTCAGAAAACTCTCAGGACTCCGGTCCCACAACAGTACTACAAGCTGACCCAACTAAAGGAAATTTCTGAGGCATTGCTGCCCCTTGTAATAAGTATACACATGTGCACGAAACACGACGAAGCCTCGTACTTCTGGACCAGCTCTTGAACGGAGGGCCTGGCATCAATCACAAGCATGCAGTGAGCACGGAATATGAAAATGACAGCGAGGATGGTGCTGAGGATGACCATCTTCATCAAAAGCACCATCACCATCACCGTCATCGTCATCGTCATCACCACCATCATCATCGTCATAACCATCATCATGTTCATGACCGTCGCGACAGTCACCGTGGTATTGATCATCTTCTGCTTCAGCATCATCATCATCATCGTGCTAACGGCAGTCGTGATGGTCGTCATGACCTTGCAAAGCCAGGAAAGAAAATTGATGAAGACCATCCGACAAGCTATCCCCCAAACTCTGACCCCGCCCCAAACGGTAAATCCCGCCTCTCGTCCGACTCAGCGGCCTCGGGCGTGGTCGGCAGGGCCTCCGGGTGAAGCTTCGAAGAAGGGGGCAAGGCACATGTGGCGAAGGGGATATCCATCCACTTGCGTCCAACCGGGTGTAAAGGCAACCTTGCTGATTCCTGTGCCTTGTGCATTTTTTCTGCATGCGCCGCACGCAGACTCCCATTGAGGATGCCATCATTCTGACGCGATTCTGGCAGAAGGCTAGGCATTTCGAAGCCGAGGTGGCGCATGCTCGCCAAGATCATCCGAGTCCATGGGCGTGAAGCTGAAGACGCAAGACGTACGTGGAATCGAAGAAGTTCGGAACACCAGCTTCCATGTGAACAATGCCGTAACCTACTCCTGCCTGGGCCGTTTGTTCACAGTCCAGGTCTCTGGCCTCTCCCAGAATGCATCTCCTCGGCCGTTGTAGAAGCCTTGGTCCCCTAAGGGTCCATGTGCCCAAATAGTAGAACATTGGCCTTAATGTAGTCCCTATATGGGTACTTTAGGGCCAATGTTCTACTTTTTGGGTACATGGACCCTTAGGGGTCAATACCCATGCTTCAGTTTTCCCGGCCTCCCCAAAAAAGGAATTATGGAGCTAGGACTGCAAACAAAGTCAAAACGTCTTCAGGAACAAACCTCGACACTTCCTAGCGCGTCGTCGATGTAGCGGGCAGTGCGAAGTGCTGAGTCCATGGTGCTGGGACAAAGCTGAGGGCTCTTGGCCAGAATGGCATCCGTAACGCTTTGAATCAAGGGCTCCTCTCCAAAGTAATGGCATGCTTTCATAAATTCTGGAGTCCTGCAACCCCTTACAGAGAATGGCAGCTACTGCCAACACTGACTCTGTGGCAGCAGCAGTAGCAACACCATCAGCCTCATGCCAACAGCCTTCACCGGCTGTGTCAGTGATTGGAGGCTCCAGAGTTCAAGGGCCCAACGCTATCCTCGTCCAACGGGCTGTTACTCGTTTCCAATCATGTCAAAATGTCTTAAACCCTCGACCCTAAACCCTAAACCCTAGACCCTAAACCCCTATATAGTACCCTATATAGTGGGTACCTGGGGGGTTATCCTATAAGCAGTAAATCCCGCGCTCCTGTACTGCTGGCGCCGGCGGAGGGATGTCCCAAGTCTCCGCAGCTGTGCCATCAGCATAAGCCACGGAAATGCGGCTGCCGTTCATGAAATCGGGGAGGCTAACCTCCAGGCGTTGAATCGTGGGGCGTGGTATATCTGGCTTAATCAAGCGTTTGGGGTTTGGGGGTGAATTGAAATTTGTCTGCATGTATACTAACTCTAAGGTTGAACCCATGGGCCCCTAGTATAGGCCCTTAATTTTGGGATCCTTCTTCTAACCTTGGATTAGCGGTCCCCCCCCCCCCCAAAAAAAAGTCAACATCCATAACCTTGAATCCTGAGCCTTCAAATCCCGAGCCCCGAAATAAAAGTTGAAGCCCAAAGGCCCCAGTGGATGATGTAAATCCTGAGTTACCCATAATAAGGCCTAAGCCATATTTTCCATAGTTTAGGGTTCTTAAGGTAAGGCAGGATTTATATCATCAACAGTAGTTCCTATGAGTGCTCATGATTTGCCCGGCTTCCAGAAACCCTTACACCAGCAGTACCATCATGCCTCTTCTTTGAGGTCTCCGGAATAGAACTGAATCATAGGACACGGGGCACCCTTCGTAGATAATACAGGGGCCCGGATAATTCGAAGAGGGTTTCGGGATGTTTTGGGGTATATTAAACAATAACCATACTAAGGAACGCTATTTAAGGAATAATGTAGCATCACGAAACATTATGTTTATATCACTAAAGAGCCCTAATTAAGGAGCAGCACTTGTCCGTGCCAACGTAGCTGCCTTGATAATTAGACTAGGGTTCCGGGGCCCATGATACTATAACTATAATACGGAGCCCCAAAAATAGTATTGGCAATTATTGACCCTATACCCATAGGCCCCACAGTAGTTCCTTTTTGGGTTCATATTTAGAATTCTATTAGGTAATCCCAAAAAGGAACTACTATAAACCCTAAACCCCAAACTCTAAACCCTAAACCCAAAAAGGAACTACTATGGGGCCTAACCCTATGGGGCCTATGGGTATCAGCTGCCTTGGCAGAGGCCGTCAGGATCTCCAGGAGGTCGCAGCTTTCGGGCGCGCGGAAGTTCCACGAGGCCGAGCCAATCCTTGCCGAAGGGTTTGGGGTTTTAGGGTTTAGGGTTTAGGGTTTTAGGGCTTCAGGGTTTTAGGGTTTAGGGTTTAAGTTTAGGGTTTTAGGGTCCAGGTTTAGGGTTTAGGGTTTAGGGTCTAGGGTCCAGGGTTTGGGGTTGCGGGCTTAGGGGCTTGTAGTTAGGGTTCAGGGTTTAGGGTTTAGGGGTTTGGGGTTGCGGCTTTAGGGGGTTTATGGCCCGGGCTTGGGGTTTAGGGTTTAAGGTTTTAGGGGCTTATGGCCCGGGGTTGGGGTTTAGGGTTTAAGGGTTTAGGGTTTGGTTTTGGGTTTGGGGTTGTGCAGTTTGTTACGGGATTCGCGGGTGAGTGAGCACGGAAACAAACGGCCCAGGCACCGACCAACTAATCTTTGCGGAAAGTGAAAAGGTGCCTCGCATCAAGATCAAGACATTGCAGTATGTACCATACCCCAAGATGTATACTGTAAGCCTTAAACCCTATGTCCCCATGTGCTCACGACAACTAGTTACGCTGCTCCAGTAGCATGATCATTCTGCACAAGAAACGAGGCGCATTGTCTTGTCCGACGCCACAGTCGCATTCACGACACAATGCCATGTAAGATGCAAGGACTGCTTGGGCTTTCGTTGAGGTGCTTAAAAAGAGGCAGCAACTTTCCGACGTTCTAATGGCACCGCACTGTCACTGGACTTCGTGCCAGGCTATCCGAGTAGACCCGAAGCGCAAGAAATACGTCCAGCATTCAGAAAAGCCTACTCTTATCCCCCAGGTACCTACTATATAGGGCCTTACGGGCTCTAGTACCCTATATAGTAGGTACCTGGGCGGTTAGGGTACTCTTGTGCTCAGCCGAAGATCGCGTCTTCGGCGCACTCGAAGCTCAACACTACACCATCCTCTGGGCGCGGAGGGTGAGTGGAGGGTCAGGCTTCAGGTTGGAGGGAGCACCAAGGCTTGCGGCAAAAACGTGAAACCTCTGAAGACGTTATGACAGTCTGCAATTAGTGTGCTAGTATTCTTGCTAGTGTCACTATCCGTGCCACTGCTAGGGCTGCTGCCAGTGCTGCTGAAAGGGCTGCTGCGAGTTCAAGCGTAAGTGCTATAGTGCTAGTGCTACTACTAAATTGTGCCTCCTGCTACGCCCTGCCTCAAGACTTGTCGGCACATGCCCAACAGGAGGGTTTGTGATGTAGGGGCCAGAATAATTACCACTACTGTATTCCTAGTATAATGGGCCCCAAAACCCTACTCGAATTATTAAGGCCCCTACATTGCGTCTCTGTCCTCTGGCATTGTCATCTTCGCTCCACTTGCGCGACTGGCCACCCCGCGAAGATTCCTTCGACCAAGTGGGCAAAAGTAGCCGGGCTGATAACCAGCCCCTAACTCCCCAGGGGAATACTACATAGGGCCCTAAACCCTAAACCCTAAACCCTGAACCCTATATAGTAGGTACCTGGGGGGGTTAGGGAGCCACTTACTGCAGATGCAATATGATGAATATGATGCTCGAAGTTCTATCGCGGCAATGAGCCAACAATCAAGACAAGAAGAGAACACATCGTATTGTCAACATGAACCTGATTCAGTTGACTTTCAGCTCACTTGAACTGATTCGACTTCGGATTTATTCCGATTTCGAAATTCAAGTTTCATTCGTTAGGACTCAACTCATGGACTACAGTGTCGGCCTTCTCTCAACCTGGCAGGTAGGCGGTGCAGCGGGCTTGCCACTGCAAGCCATCCAGGCGCCCGTCAGGGAGCTGTGCTTGGTCTAGCGGGCTGGGTCGTCCCCTCTGGCAGTTCGCACCACCAAAAGCAGTGAGTAACACGGGAACCGAAAAAGAATCAAAGTGAATCAAAGACGGCAGGACAAACTGACTGCGACCCGGCAGCATTTGGATAGTTTGACATCATCATCATCATCATCATCATCATCATCATCCTCATCATCAGCAGCAAGAAACAGCAATTGCTATGTCAACGGCAAGAGCAACGGCGGTGTTGATACCAGTGCCCGTGCTATTGTATGGCTACGACTAGGATGTACTATATATGAACCGCAGTCCAGGATCCGCAATGGTCCCACCAAGAAGTCCAGAAGATCGAGCACATGTGATCCAATATCCACGAAGAGCCCACCCCCGGAGGTGGCGACATCGAAGCGCCAGCCTTTCTGAAGGCGCCAAGCGCTTTTACTTCACGGCCAGTGGTAGGTGTCTTGCTTACGCTTCGCATCCTTCCCCAAATTTAGCGGTCTGCACAGCATGCGCCTGTGGCCTTGGCATCTGTTGGTCTCGATTCGGCGCAGTATCCAACTTCTCAATCCAAAGTAGGGTAGTCGTTTTGCTAAAGACCTTCCCGTGGACAAGTAGGCGATGCGGGTTTATCCAAACTCAAAGGCCTGCAGTACAGTTAGATTAGAGTGATATAAGATTGTTGCGGACTTGGCCGCAGAACGTTCCGGTACCCTCCCCCCGGCCCAAACCGTAAACCCTAAAACCTAAACCCTAAACTGATAAACCCTAAACCCTAAACCCCAAACCCTAAACCCTAAACCCCTAAACCCTAAACCCCCAAACTCCCTAACCTTCAAGACCTCAAGACCAAGCGCCGCCTTGCCCCGTCGCTGGAGGCTTCTGCAGCCTGTAGTGCCTTTGGGATTTTTAGGGTTTAGGGTTTAGGGTTTAGGGATTAGGGCTTAGGGTTTAGGGATTAGGGTTTTGGGATTAGGGATTAGGGTTTTGGGATTAGGGATTAGGGTTTAGGGTTGAGGGCCGCGGGTGGGGATTTCGACCTTCGGGGCAATTTAGGGGGCCGGAATAATTAGAATACGGTTTTGGTACATCATGTGTAGAATATACGATAGATAGGTTACTCAGCACTATGGGATGCTATATGTCACTCTTCAGACCCCTCAAATAGCTCATGCTATAGGTTTTGTCTAAGAAACTTTGAGAGCTCACACTTAGTGAGTTCAAGGCTAGCGGTTTGCCGGAAGCTTTGGGTTTAGGCTTCAGGCAAGAGAGACTTCGAGATTAGGGACCTGAGTAGACTAGGGCCAGGGTTTGGGCGTAAGAAGTTGAGAGTGTCGGCCAGGCTCGTTCGGTGACTCGCGCGTGCAGGGTGACAAAAAACTTGCTGGCCCAACTGGCAAGTCTCAACACCAACAGAGCTGAACCGAACTTCTTCGGGCCAACCACGACCGAAGGATCAGAATTGCATCCCAGACCCCTGACTGTGTGCTACTTCGGCAAAAGGCGCACTCCGGTGATGGTCCCAAGTCGGCTTGAAGTTAGCAGCTCTCGCAGCCGAACAAATCGCGGGTATGCCCGGCGATAGTACGCGACGAAAAGCGGAGTACCAGCCTTGCGCAGGGAATTCCGAGGATGAGGCAAACACAAACACAGAGACAGAGAGAGAGAGAGACCGACACAGTCTCTCTCAGTCTTTCTCGCTTTCGGTATTTCTCTACTTCGCTCTCTCTGTCTATCTCGCTCTCTCTCTGCTTTGTAACCATATTATGTACTGACTGTTATGTGTATATATGAGTATGTATATATATATATACAGATACATACATACATACATACATACATACATACATACATACATACATACATACATACATACATACACACATACATACATACATACATGCATACAGACGTAAAAACATACATGGACAAGATGTGGATATCAAAGATCAGATTGCCAGCATGGCAAGTATCGGGAAGTTTGAAACACTGCAACACGGTCACGGAATTGCGGCTGTTTCGACCTGCCTTCTGTCGTGATCACCATGAGTCACCCACGGCCCCAGTGGACATACATGAATTATGCAATATGTATATGCATGTAATTAGGCCGGTGTCGGCATCGGTTGACTCATCTCCTCTGCACTGACATCGTGCTGGCACTACACGAGCCGCACAATTTCACAAACACGCCCGAAGATCTGTCTGGTGCTTAGTAGGGAATNNTAGGGACTACTATAAGGAACCTTAAGGGACGATCATAGGGATCCATTCCCCCATTCCCTATTAAGCACCAGACTGAGATTCCTCAGTGTTCGTCGCACTGGCAGACCTTCTTGAACGGTTCTGCGACTTGCAAGGACTCCGTGACGTTGCGCGCCATGGGCTTCTCCTTGTCGTTGTATACGTGGGGAAGACTTCATGACCCCTTGCAGCCGAACCAAGGCTTAGGGTTTAGGGTTTAGGGATCGATGCAATAATGGAATGCTGGAGGCAGGACAAGGATCTAGAAACAAGTTGACTCTATGCCAAGATTCCAGATAACACGGCTTGCCGGAGGCAGCAACCTGTTTGGCGATTTGAAGCCGCGATCCCGGAGGCGTGGCAATGTAAACGGCTGTCCTGGCAGGTGTGATGGATTGTCGCTTTATCTGGCTGCTCTTAAAGTCAAACTCCGTGGCAATGAGTAAGACTAAGACAACGTCGCAGGATTTAACCCGGCATGGTGCAAGCGAGCGTCACTTTCGGATCCGCCAGGAGGTCCTGCACATGTGCCACTCAAAGCAAATGGCGAGCACAGGGTTGATGCCGCTTGGATGAAGACATCGGGCATTTTGAACATAGAGAACCCTATAAGCCCGAAACCCCTAAACCCCACGCCAACTTGAACATACCAGACCCGTACCCTCTCGGCTGTGTCCCATTGGATGTCTGCCCCCTGCAAGGATGTCCTCCACAGATGTGTACCACTTTGCCACACCATGCCGCTTTGCATAGTCCTTCGCCTTCTCGGCATCTCGGCGCATGACCTCACAGAACTGGTCAAAAGCTGTCCCAGGACATCGCTGCCGGAAGGCAGGCCGACGTGAAGCAGAATATACTATGACATATATATATATGTTTATATATCTATCTATCATATACACATACTTATACATATATTTGTATATAAGGGCATACATGTATATCTATAGAGAGAGAAAGGAGTATGACAGTATAGCGAATTTGGGAGTCAACCCTGTCTCATTTCATCTTCAGAAGCTCAAACTCATATCCTAAAGCCTTTCGAAATGGATCCTGCACAGCCTTTATAACACACCAGACCATTTCGCGGAAGGCGTCATACCCATCGAGTGACTGCCACGAGTTCAGCGCCACCGGCACGTTGAAATGCCGGGCCACTCTTCACCTCCGTGACATCCTGTGATCAGGGTCTGGATGTCAAGCTTTAGGGCGAAGGCTTTTGAAGCTTCCGTTTTGCAGATGAAGCCTCGACGAACTCTCAAAACCACCCAGGAAAAACCACCGAACAACTTATCTGCCAAGCAGCGCCACAGCCGATAATGCCCCACCCAACAGTAGCCATGGCTCTCAGCAGCAGGCTCGTGACAAGGCAAATTTTAAGAGGAGAAGCCTGGTAATCAGGCTGATCTTGGCTTCCTGTCAACCAAGGAGGTTCCGCCATTGAAGGGCTCTGGAGTGGGTTGTTGAAACGTTGTTGTTGGGCTTGGGCTTGGTTTTGGGACACAGGCCTCAGATTGATAGGATAGCAGCCTAGTAGGCACCTTGAGCCCTTAGCCGTCAACCCCTTAGTTTGAAGATCTGGCATTTTGTGGGTCTGGGGGGGGGGGGGTGGGGTTAGGGTT